GTCTGGAGCCAATAGATATCACCGGATGCTGGGTTTCTTCTCTGGTGATGATTTGCCTTTACTGCAGCTGTCTTCAGTTCCTGCTTGTTCTTGGGCCATTTTACCTTTCGCTTCAGTAAGCAAAATGCATGTTTGATTGCAGTGGCCATTGGAGGACATTCCACTTCTTCACCTTAAAAAAGTCTTTTTTTTTCTTTTTTTTTTTGTGCAATATGTTTCGGGTCATCGTCCACCTGCACTATGATGTACCATTCAATGAGTTGTAAAGCATTTGGCTGAAACTAAGCAGATCATGCAGCCCTATACACTTCAGAAACCATCCTGCTGCTTTTGTCAACAGTCACATTATCAACTGTAAAGCCTTTTTTAGATGGTTTTTGACAATTTCTAATCTGGTCTTCTTGTTTTTTTCAAGGCTTACCAGTGGTTTACATCTTGTGGCAACCTTCTGTATTTGCTCTGGTGAAATCTTCTCTTGATCTGGCCAACTTTTGTGAAGGTTTTTTTTTCATCCAAGTCAACCACCACAGTTGTTGGTCTTCTGGGCCTTTTGGTGTTTAAGAGCTCACCAGTGCATACTGTCTTTTTAAAAATGCACAAAATAGTTTGGTTTAGTTTGATTTTTCAATCTAATGATGGCTTGCTTCACTGACAGCTTTATCTGCTTACTTGTTAAGTGAAATAAAGAGAGAATTTCACACACATGGTCATGGAACAGCTTAGCAGCCAATTGTCCAATTACTGAAAATAGGGGGGCTATGTATGAAAAGACACTTGATTTGGATGTAGATGTCCTCAAATTAAAACTGAAAGTCAGCACTGAGCTTATATTCATTATTTAATTTCTCCAATCTGCTGTGGTAGACAGCTAAAATAATTTGTTTTTGCTCTTTGTCAATGTCCAAATATTTATGGATCTGACTGTATATTTTGGAGCAACTAAACTTCCATAACCTATCATGTCCTTATCAATACAAACACAACTGCCAGGTTTAATAGCTTTCCACACCTACTATTTAATTTTATTAGAACTACGTACAGCCTATATTAAAGGAATTAAATTAACCATTAATACAGTTTTTTTTCACTGGTTAAGGAACATTATGTTGAGTTGCAGTGCTAAATCAGAAATGTTAAAGTACTGGCTCAGCAATGATTGAAGCGACTGTTTTGTTTCTTCTCAGAGCACGTAGTGAAAAGCAACATAATTGGTTACAGGACCCATTTGCATATGGCAGCTTTCTGCAGTATCAATATTGCAAAGGCCAGTATCATGATAATGATTAACAAACCAGATATTGGGCCGCCCTAGCATAAAGGACAAAAGGCAAGGGAGAAAAACAGTGCTTACCATGTGAATTATACTGTATAGAGCACTATACAACGCTGGGGACGCTGACACCACAACTCTTAATTCCCCTGTATAATTACACTGTAATGCAATATTGATGAGCCCACAATGGACTTGCCTCTTTACAAAGTACATACCAGCAGAGACCACTTCTTTAATTTAATGGCATATATTGATTGCTGGAGAACAGTGCTCACTGATTACTCTAGTGAATACAAAGAACTGCACAAGCTTAATTAGAATCTTTGTGATTTTGACCTCAAAATAAACAAACAGGCAAAAAACTTTCCACATGACAGCTGGATTCAGTACAATTGTTGTGTACAATAAGGGCATGGAGCGGCTGTAGAAGGAAGAAGGCAGTAAATCATGCTTTCTTTAGTAACTGAGTCATTTTCCCTTCCACAGATGCAGGACGAGTTCCACTGCAGTGATGCTTCTTGTCTTGTCCATAACGTAGTAAGTATAAGTATATGAGGACACATAGCATATTAGCAATAGAGATAAAAAATGTACTATTTTTGGATCAGTGCTTGTGTTTTTGGATCAGTCTACTACTCTATAATTGTGCACTCAGTGCACAATAAAAATTCAGCGTTATGCACTGTTAATGCATTCAATAGTCAACCGTAATCATCTCATAAACTCTTATCCACTTGATAAATGTGTATTTACAGAATATCTAAATGGGTTCTAGCAGAATGTCAGTGTAAAAACTTTAGCATTACTGAAGGAGCAAAGAATTTATTTAACCCGGGGGATTTTACATTGCATATGTAGTTGGCAACGAAGTTTTCTCTAAATTGTGGAGCTCAGCTGGCACAACAGCACAACTGCTATATAAAGAGTGGGGAAAATAATTGATTCTTAAATCCATAGCAAGTCTCTCTTGAAAGATTCTGAATTGACTGATAAAACATCATAATCATATTTTTATATAGACTCCACATACTGTTAGATTAACTCCTGCTCAGATACTTTATAAAGTAAAAGGGTACCTTGGTGCAGCCCAGCTTGGTTGTGGACAAAATACAGGATCTCACTAAAAGACCTCTGAAATCATGTCGTCATCCTGTCATGTCAATATTAAGAACTCTAGGTCTACACTGTTTTTTCCTATGGGAAAAGGAATGCATTGCTGCTATTGCGCTCTGTTGCAAACAAAAATGCTCTGAACCCGGCATGTTTTGCCATATAGATATTTTTTCTCAGAATTTCACTGGACCCATTGAATTACGTGGTTGTTAAGAAGCCAAAATATGACTATTGCTACAGATAACAAGATAACACTGCTGCACACTAACTCCCAAGGTTGCCAGATTGCTTCTAGTTTCAGGCCAGAAAATCCCACCAAGTTGCATGAAAAACCACCAAAGAAATACAAATCAAAAACTGTCCACAGTGCTATTAGTTTACCATGGGAAGGTAAAGTAGTGCCAGTTTACTACAGGGAATCTGTAATGTTTATGACGTTTAAGACCGATTCATATCCGGTTGATTTTAGCCACAGAGGACACAAGTAAACATTTTTCAAAAGCCTCTAAGCTTAAGAAACTCCTTTTCCACAGAACACCATTATTATCATTATGTTGATTTGGACAGAATTAATATAACCTACGGTTATTTCTATGGTTCATTTCACTGATGTTGATTGTGAATGATATAGATGGGCGGGGCAACAATAAGAGCAACAGGACTGACTAAAATATATGTCAATCAAGTTTTACAATTTATACATTGTGGAAGTTATGCTTATTAAAATTTCAGCCCAAATTTTGTCCACCTGCCAAAGCACTTTTTCTCCCCACCAAATCCACCCAATCTGGCAACAATGTCGACATCAGAAGCAACATACTCCACACAAACCAGCAAGGCTTGTCAGTAGTCTACAGGTTAAACAGCTGATGTTGGTGTATAACGGTGCTGAGATTCAATAGTAGACTTTCATGATTTCAATAAGCAGGACCATTATTCATATTTCTAAATGTACAGAGGATCCAGTGACATTTTGGCACCATTTTGTTTATTATAGTTTGTGATAATGGCGATTTTAAAAGAAGACATTTATTTTTCTCATAGAAAACTCTGCTTAGACCTGGAGTTCCTAATATGGGCGTGACACCGACTACAAAATGACGCATGCCTGAGGTCTAGGCACAAAGTCTATGCATGCATGTTTGCAGTCATGAATGGTTGCAAATTTTGTGTATAATAAGTACAAAGCCCTAAAACGAGACTAAGGCAATCACTTCAGGAGATTCCTAACCGGATAACAGGCTAATCCAGTCATATTTAGAGTTAGGCTTTTAATACTGACTGAATGTTTAACTGCAAAGCTCCTCACACCACAGTGTGACATACCACCTGAAGAAAATTCTTGGTATTTTTTCTATTCCATGTCTCGATGGATCAGATGAGTTGTAAAAGTATGAAAATATAATACTTAATGCTTTCCCTGAGGCACCTAGGGCTGAATTCCATAGCAACTCCACTACAATGGAAGACATTATGTATGTCCAAAACAGCATCTACACACCAAATAATATGTACATATATAATAGTACTCCTCTACTAGATGTGCATTCATTACTGAGTATTACAGTATTTAATATGTAATTTTCATAAAAGGCTTAAAAGCTAAGTAGGTCTAAGCTATAAATCGTAGAAATCAAAAATAGAGATGCACTGAGAATTATTTTATAATCATGTCTTGGCACCCTGAATCTAAATCAAATCAAATAGTGAGGTGCCTAGAGATTCCCACTCCTACATTACATGTGAGCAGAAAACACATTGCGTCCACAGCAGAAGCTCAGCATGGTTAATAACTAGTAACTGCCCCTTTTCTTCTCCTGATCAATCGGTCAGTTGGAATCATAATGGACCGCTTAATCGGCTACAGAAATAATCATTAGTTGCAGCCCTAATTCACCCTGCATGTTGTCATGTGACCATGAGCCTTCAAACTGTTACAACTCTACAACTATTACAACTTATTCTGTTGAAACTGCTTTTGGTTCAATGCAATAGACTTTTGCGTCATTCTACAGTTGTATGCAAAAGTTTAGGCACCGCTCTACAGTAAACAACCTCTACAGAGAACGCACTTCTGCATATTTTAATGCACAATTACTGTTTATTTACTAAATTGAACATATTGGAAAAAAGCAATAAAAAATTGGCACGTTATATTTTGTGTTTTATTTTTTCTAATATGTTAAACTCAGCAAATATATACATAGAAAACAGAAAGTCAACATGTAATTTTAATAGGTATTAAAACTTTTGCATGTGACTGTACAGTTATGGGCTGTAGTGCATGCATTGGCCAGTACAGTTTAACTACAGGAATGTCTGGGTGGAAACTGATCGTTGATGAACGGCTGGATGTGTGTTATGTCAAAAATAAAACATCACAATGTTTAAGACATTTTCACAATTCACAAACACAATGCAAGACTAGTCTAAGCAACCCCAATGATATTTAGTTTTTCTAGTTTTTCTGAAGTTCGATAAGTGGGAACAGAAAAAGCACCAGAAGTGCTGCATGTAATAAAAACAAAACTATTGCATATGAATGTATCTGGTTAGTTGAACCATTCTACATTTACCGTTCCTTTGATAAACCAAACATGCTTGGATCGCTCACCCTTCATGGTGGTCAGCGTAGGGCTGGGCAGCAAAGGTAAAGACAGCAAAAACAGAAGATACACCACAGAGAGGCCATTGTAGCGAAAGGCTATAGCTGTGGAAACATAGCATCCGCATTTAAAACATACAGACAGCAATAAGAAGTGTTGATCTTTAATTATATGCAAATGAAAACATCCTAAAAGCATTTCTTTTTCTTCTTCCCCAGAATCTTATTTAGATGTGGATTAAGAGAAGTGAATACTGTTGAGATGATGTGAAAATATCCCCTTAAAGCAACCAGAAGAGAAGGGAAAAAAATCTTTTGACTCCTACTCGAATTATCACTAAACGTATGTGTATTCAAGCTTTGGAATGACGAGAGGGCATAAAAAGATGGATCATGCAATTAAGTTATTAAGCCACAGACGAACTAACTAATTAAACAAATTATTAAACAAAAAATGAACAAATAAATAAATTGCTATTGTTCTCTGTTTTTTTAATTTCTAGATTCTAAACAAGCCACTTATGACCTCTACTTCTGGCAGATAATTAAACTTAAATATTATTTAAGTTAAATTCAAAGTGTTGTACAGTTTTAACACTGTGTTTAGTTCATAATAGAAAGAAAGTCTTTCAAGTAAAATGTATAATAGCAACATCAGGTGAATTGTTAACATTTATCAACATACCCAGATGATACATATTAAATAACATCCACCTTTCCAGTCGCTGTGCTTGTAAAAATACATTTGCAAATCCTTGCAAACCTTACTGCTAATGACAGTACCAGCAGGAAAGAACATTGCCAGTCTTAACAGCAGCCTCAGCTACTTTTGTTTTGGCTTCTTCCACATTTTCAAAAACCAGAATTTGAAGAATTGAATTCCACTCACCTGTTAGTAGAATAAGTGGCAGCAGTAAGTTATAGAGCATCCCTACTACAATATCCCCTGCCATGTTTGCTCCAAGGAGCACAGGCTCACTGATTTCTAGAGAGGGGAGCTGTAGGGAACACCCCTTTGCTCCAGCAAATCCCTACAACAGCACTATCCTCCGCAGGACAACATGCACACACGACATTGCTAAAAGATAAAACGTGTCATGGTTAGAATCCAGAACCTGAATGTATTGGTTTTCTGTAAGGTTTTTCATGACGCTACGGTTTTTTAGAGCAAAGTAGGAAGCATATCTAATATTCATGGAGCCTGGGCCATTATCTGCTGAAGCCCGGAGCTGTAATAGTGCCCAAAGCGCTCTCGTCAAAATATAACACGTTGAAGATAATAGACACTGCCTCACCTCTGAGACTGCAGAGAAGCGCGCAGGGGCTATATATGGATTCAGGCTGTGAACAATTGTCCATCAGAATTAAAAATATTAAGAATATATAGGTTCTCCATTTTTTTTTAAGAATTGACATTGTTTTAAATCAGTACTCCAGCATTTCACTGTCTAATATGTCTGATGCATGTGTAGCATTTGGCTGATTACCATAAAAAAAAAAACTGCACCATTGGCTACTTTTTATTTTACCCAGTTTTCCTCCTAATTTAGTCATGTCCAATTTCCACCTGCTAGCCAAGTCTCCCCCTATCACACAATGCTGGGAGAGTGAAATCTAGGGGTTTCACGACTAGAATTTTTTAGTAGTCAACTAGTCATCATTACCACATAAAAAAACAAGTGTTCCAGATGTTAGTAAAAAAAAATGTTAGCAAAAAATGTAAATTTCAGCCTCAGGCACACAGAAGTTACACAGTCTGCATTCCGTAAACTGCACGCTAAGATCACCGCAGCTCTCAGAAACCCACCTCTCACAGAAAATGTAAACTGTCCAATGGGAAGGAAACGAATGTTTATCAAGCTTAATGCTAGAAGCAAGCAGTTACATTGACTCACCAGTAAGTTTTTCAGAGTGAAATATCAGCCTCGTTGCTGAACTAGAAAACATTCACGATATTGCATTTTAAAACATTATTCCTAAATTGTATTTGAAATTGTGGGTAGCAAGTAAACAAGATATCCTCATGTTTACTGAGCAGCACTCAGTGATTGAATGTTTCTTATGTTCTGGCTATCGTGGTTCCCAGAAACTACTTGGTCTGGTTCACAAACCTGGATTTCTGCCCAATCTTACTCACCTTTAAAGTGGAACTGGTTTCATTTTGTGTAGTATTTCCACACTAATAAAGCACTTTAGGCTTTGTGTTTAGCAGAAAACTGACTTCTGTTCTCTCCTCCTTCACTGGAGTTTTTACTATTAATGTATGTCAGGCAGGGGCATCACTAGAGGTTTATGGATAGAGGGACTAAATCTTTACTAAGGGTGTCTGGGGGCATGCTCCCTCAAGAGGAAGTACAGATCTTTTACAACTTAAATATTGTACCTGTCCACTTACACAGATATCAGATCAAACAAAGATAATAAAGTCAAGTAATACTATCTCCTTTCTCTAAGATAAGTTACAGATCCTGACTATGTTACTCAAATACACAATTATAGATTGGTACAGTCTCAAGTTGTGCAACCAGATAGAATGTGATTTTGTCAATTAATTTTTTTTTTACTCTCACAAATGAGGATATATTAAGGGAAAATATTTCTACGAATTCAATATTAATTTTAACTAAAAGCATAAACAGCACTCACTTGCTTTCTTCTTGATCACTAACCTTTATCAAATCTGCTTCTTCAGTCTGTCCATCTCCTTCACCTTCTTTCTCTCCCTCTCAGTGCCTGTTTATTAACATGTAATTTTTATTAACCTCAGATTTACAAGAACTCAAGGATCAATTAGTTATTTTTTTGTTTGAACTGGAGAAAGTCTTCTCACCTGACTGGCCCTCTTTGGAGCTGCCACCTCTTAACTAATAACCATCTACAGATAGAGGAATTCACGGATATATAACTGTGTTATGATCATCAAAACACCTGTATTGGGTATATATAGTAAAAACAGCAAAAAAAAAAAAAGTATATGGCTAATACTTCTGTGATTGTTTAGAAATACTTAATAGAAATATGAAAACAAATAATCTATGAAGCTTCTTAAAATTCTTAAAACAGTTGGCTCTTTCGATACCTAACGTGTGCTTTATGGCCTATCCTCTTTAATTCTTTTAATCCTCTTTTTGAACACAAATTGCACAAATTCATATTGTAGGCAGATATCTTCACTCAGTAACTACTTACTGACTCAGACTGCATATTATAGATTGGGAATATGGCCTTTATAGTATAATTTTTATCTAAAATCATGTCAAAACTTCAGCATCTGATGATAAAAAACACCCGTTTAGAGGATAAAGATGCATGTCTGAGATCACAAATTCAAATGTCTGCTGTTGAAGTGACAGAAGGATAAAAAAAAAGAATTGTTCTGTGGTGCTTTGAGGTGTACCTCGCTGAGCTACGCTAATGCTAGTGTAGTTAGCGAGCTACAGGTGCAACCCACCACAGTACAGGCTCAGGTTTCAGTAACTGATGCTCAAATAACACCCGTTTAGTGGATAAAGAATCTGAGAACACAATGAGAGACTGGTGCTGGAGTAAGAAGCGGAATCAAATGTGTTTTGTGGTGGGCAATTAGGCTGCTAGCAGTTAGCCTGTTGTGTAGTTTTCTTCAGTATTTCCTGGTTTAGCAGCACAGCAGATGGAAAAAGAAAGCGTAACCAGTCTCACAAGCCCACACAACCATGGAACGGCACAGTACAGCCCTGAGAACTATTTGCCAGTGGATAAGATGCCTTTGACATTTACTGAATGGTGGATTTAAAGTCATGCACTGCTTTCATTTGTTTGGTGTCTGTGTAATAGAACTGAACTTCTTTGGTTTCAGGATTGAAATAATGCAGGATACTGTGGCACAATACAGACAAAAGTGTAGAACCTATCAGCGAACAGCTACGTTGTTATGTCATCCCACAGAACAGTTCTGTGGCCCTGAGCACAATTAGCTAACCATGTCGAAATGCTGCTGGAATGGTTACTTTCAGTGCTAGGACCGTTCAGCCCTGCAGTGGAAAAGAGGCCTCAGTGTCCTTGTTGATATAATGAAAGAAATAGGAAGTGGCAATGCTAAACTCTGGTTTTGCACTGTATGTAAAGGATTGTGGGTGACTAAAGGTCTCAAAGGATACATTGGTTTAGTTCTTCTATTTCTTGCCCGCATCTGAAGGATCCTTCAAAACGAGACAGGCTGCCCTGACGTAATGACTGAGAAATGCAGCCTTCGTTGGCTGCATCCTTGGCTTTGAGACAGTTGCTGTATAGCTAAAAGAAATGTTCCCTGTGTGTGAGACAGTATGTGCAATATGTGTGTAGAACCACATTTGTTTGTTCATTTACTTGTTTGTTTGCAGTTAAATACAGAAAAGGGTGGAAATATACATATTTTAAAGTAACTGTAACTGTGTTTGGCCTCTTGAGAATTGAGCTGTGCTGCATAAGGCATTTATTAATATTTGATGGATACTTTAAATCCTTTAGTTTCCCGTGGAGCAGTAAAGGCACTAAATGGCCACATATTGCTTTCCACCTTCAGGAAAAACATACAATACCCTACATTAAAAATCCCTGTAAAGTGAGGGTAACAGATATTAAATCACTCTAAGTAAGAAAACAGTCACAGAGATCTGACAATTTAAAGTGGCACAAAGGTATTCCTTCACGTTTCTTGCCATCTGTCTTAGCATAAGCAATCGTGATAATCGTGAAAAGTGATGCTAAAGACTGGGTATGGAGGGTAAAAATGACTGCGTCTTTGGGTCTGAAATGGTTTTGTGCTCTATTACAGCTGTTTTGGCGCCATCTAGTGACCAAATAAATGAAGTACATCATACGCTGCAAACTAGAAGTGCAAAAATGGATCGATACATTCAGGTTACACAGTTGATTAGTTAAACATTCGAACTGATTATAATCACTTGCGATAATAATTGTGATTTAATAAAGTTGTATGTCCTTATTCCTACTTTTTAGTCACATTTGTGCATTCAGTATTTTAATAATCCTAAATTGTACCAAAACATTCAATTTGAATCGTGGTAAAATTTGAGATTTCATGCACTGAATCTCCTAAAGAATCGCAATAGAATCATAAAAACGGAATATCTAAAGATCTTGTGTGTAAATCTTGCCGTAACGTTACACATATGACACATACACTGTGACGGCTTAGAGAACCGCAGTTCTCCTCCTCGGTACGTGCTCCACCTCCTGATCACCGTCAGCTGCCAGAGAATATGTAGTGGGGAGAACTACCACTCAGTAATGTCTTCCGGGTTTGTCAGCGCTAGAGGGCGCTCTTGAACAAGTCCAAAACGAATGGGTTATTATGGAGAATGTAAACAAAATCAGTTTGTAAATGATTAAACATTTTCATATAAAACAATGCATTCATTTTCTGAACACAGAACAGCATAAAACATTTTAACACTGCTGTTATATTTTTGAGTTTTTTTATAACTCCATTTTATAACCCCAGTTATAGGACTTTATAACAGCACCTCATGTATGTTCCTGACATGCACCAATCAGCACTCAGTAGCAGTAATGCCAACCAATCAGCTCTCAGCAGGTGTAATGCCAACCAATCAGCACTCTGTAGCATTAATTCTAGCATCCTACTGCCCAAAATTTGTTTTGTGTAAAAAAAAAAGAAATGCACAGCTAAGCTTTCATTGTTTTTAGTGATATACATCCTTCTACTTCTACTAAAACTAAAGGAAGGACCTGGATAAGCAGTTAAAAACTTTAAACTTTTTGTTTTTGTCCATTTAACTCCATTCAGCCTGATTCACTGAGGACTCGCTCGCGGGCGCCCTCTGGCGTTTCGCAGTCATGTTTTGATGTTGAAAAAACAAGGAAGTGGTCAGGCTTCGCTTAAACCGGCTCTGCAGCTACCGAACAAGCGCCGCACAGACAAACTAGCTCTCCAGCACGGAGAGAAAGGGAA